TGAACGACAGGCAGCGGCGACTGTTGCAGCAAGTATAGAAAGCAACGACAAGTGAAGTCTAGTGTGCGCATTAATGCATGGACATTTTGCATGTAGCAGCTCTAACCTGTTGCGATGTTTCCCGCTGCTGATACGGAATGGTAGCTGCACGCAGCAGCAGCTGGGAGACAGAAGCAGGGGCCCCAGCGGAAGAAGAGGGCAGCATGATTGCTACTGGTTGCTTAAGGATAATTACTTTTTTTGCAGGAGCAACGGATGATGTTCCTGCCGAGAGTCTAGATGGCTCTTTTTCCTTCTTCTGATAAGCCTCAGGCTTCCGCGGCGCAGCAAGAGCCACCGATTGAGGCACCACAGCAGCATTCACCAGTTGAGGCGCTGTAGCAGCCACCGGTTGGGGCGTTGCAGCAGCCACCGGTTGGGGAGCTACAGCAGCAACCATCACTTGAGGCGCTTCAGCAGCATCCAGAACTTTAGGAGCTGCAGCAACTGCCGATTGCACCTGTAAGTCCGGAAAAAGCAGGGCACGAAGGCAGAGATCAAATATTGCAGCAGCCCCTAACAAAAATGCCTTATCTAATGAACTCAGAAGCTTACCTTCGCTGCAGCAAAAGAAGCCTCAGAGGAGACAAGATGACCTGCAACATCAACAGCTGAGCCATGTAGTATATTTTGGGGGGGTAAGGGGCCCGCGGCTAGCTGCTGCTTTTGGCCGCTTCCCTCTTTATGGTTTTCCCAAAGATCTCCTGCTGCATGTGAGGGCATTGATAGCTGGCCATGCACCGCACCCCATGCAATACTCCCGGTCTGCGCCAAGTCAGAGGCTCCTGCTGATGTGGAAGGCCGCGAACCAGCAGACACATCAAGTGGCTCAGAGGTCTCTGTTTCGTCTGCTCGCAGCCATGTCGATTCACCAAGGGGATCTTCGTTGCCAAGCAACACGGCATCAATAAAAGCATCCAACTCAGGGTCGAGAGGGGGGGCAGGCTGTAGCGGGCCTTCGTCAAGCGGCACCTCGAGTATCAGCTTCTTCGCCCATTCGCCATCCCCACGAATAAATACTTCTTCGGCTCTCCTCTTCAGACGCGCGTGCATTCCGTCTGCCTTTACCTGTTCAGTGGTTGCCCCCAGGAAAAATTGAGCTGCCGCGCCGGCGGTCGCCTCCACTGAAGGAGCATACTGTGCATCCGCTATTAGTTCATCGACCGGCGTAAGACCAGGGAACAACTGAACGTCGGCATTTTGTAGGTTCTGCGTTTCTTCTGAGGATGTGTGTGCACGGGATTCTGCGCTGCTTGAATCGGATTCCTCGCATTTTTCGGGCCCCCAGCGAGAGGCCAGCCTTCGGGCGAAGGACGCACTCTTAATTATTTTTTCCATGGACAGACTGCACAGGTAGACAACGAATATTATAGCAGACACGGCAGAAAGTGATGCAAGCCTCAATGGGATACTTGACTGGCGCGCCGTCGTGGAGGGCCTGGCCCACTCGCGTAGCATTCCATCTCGATGCGTGGTGTCTTGTGGCTCCAGAAGGTAAGCAGGAGAAGGGTACCCAGGAGGAGAAGAATTCCCAAAAGGGAGGACTCTCCAACCTGCAGAACCGGAACGATAAAACTCACTCATCCGTGACTGTCAGGAAGAAGTATAAAGGAAACTCCGACGAGCCGCCGATGTATCCAGGGAAACGGGCGCTTTCCCTGACAGAAGATGAAAATTCGTAAGAAAGCAGAAAAACAATGAGAGAAGTTCATGCAAATCAGCAACACGGATGCCAAACGAAAACGGCTACTACGTGCAGAGAAGGCGACAAGCCCCTTCGAGACTCCTACCGTAGTGACCAGAACTCCAA